TTTTTTTTCTTTCTATATTTATTAATATAGTACTTCTTTTAATTTTGTTATTGTAATTGTTCATTTGTTGTGAATTGTGCTGTTGGTGCTTGTTTGTTTAAAGTTTCATATGAAATAGTTAGTATTATTTTATTTTTTTTAGTTATAGTTCAATTTCATTGTTTGTTATACTTTTTTTTTTCTTTTTTCTTTTTTTTTTTAATAAAAAATTTTAAAATTTTTTATAAAATTTGTAGTTAATATTAATTGGCTAGTTACAAGCAATCAATCACATATTCATATAATCAGGTTTATTGAGATCAGATTTGATTGGCTAATTACAGGGATGCGTGACCATGCAGGTGTATAGAATTTTTAAACCCATAAATAAAAGTCATATTATCTATAAACAAATATAAAACAAATTATAAAAAATATATATATATATATATATTAATTTAAAAATAAATAGCAAAGTAATTTATAAAAAAAAATAATTATATAGAAGTAGAATTAAAGAAAATAAAAATACTTAATAGTATAATAGTTTAATGGTTCATCTTTACTACAAGTACTGGTTTTAACCAAAATATTGCTATAAAGTATATAGATAAACTTGACTTATTGAAAACAAACCAAGACTATTTAAAGATCTTTAAAGCAACTTGATAATACTTTTCTAGATTATAAGATTATAAAACTCTATCTAGTATAACAGACTGCTTTTGAATATTTATAAAAATAGCTAAAAGATGTTGGGCATAGATATTAAACTCAATATTATATAATCTGTTTGATATAATTTTGGTAAAAGATTACTATAAGGTTGCCAAAAAATAAAAAAAAAATATTAAAATATAAATTTTTATCTACAATATAAATACTAGAAACAAACTATAGTTTTTTTAACCTATCTGGATTAATAGTTTGAAAAAAATATTTAGAAAATACTAAAAATAAATAAGAATAAAAAAAAGTAATAAAATTTGAATAAACTTTACAAAAGCAAATAATAGTAGCAAAGTTAAAATAGCCTCAAGTACTAGTTCTTAGATTAGATGCAAGTTATTGAAAAAGTTCAAATTATATATCAAAAGTGGGTAATACGTAGAAGACTCTAACAAGTAATATGCTCAAGAATGCATTTAACCAAAAGAGTAATTTTTCTATAGGCAATTTGTGATAATCCAGGAGGCGTGAAATAACAAATATATCTCATGTTCTAGATAAGATTGTCACACATTTCTGATCGCGTAACTCTTAACGTTAGCCAATCATTTCAATACTTTAATGCTATTTAAATGGCGGTATGCTTCCATAAGTTTCGTTAAACAATGTTTGTGCCTCGATCCGCGATAAAAAGATCTTCTACAACACCTGTTAAAACAAATAAAAGAGTAAAAACCACCACACAAGTTGTGACTAACATAGAAAGAACGGATGAACCTTCTGCTCTGAATCCTGTAAAATCACCTAAACAAGTTAACAATAACGTCGAAGAAACTGAAGAGATTGATCCTGTTAAAGAATACTGTTATCAGCAACGAGAAGCATCGACTGGGGAACCAGTTTGTGTGGTTTGGTATGATTGTAAATGTTAACTACGTATCATAAAAGGTGTGCAAGGAATTTAATCCTTGCGAGCTCAATAACCCTTTTTAATTAACTGTGACTTCTATTTATAGCGGAAAATATGGCGAATATATTTGTGACGAAACGGATCATGACGTCTGTAGCATAGAGTGTAAGAAAATAGACATAGAGAGAACAACGAAAATAATAAAAGATATTTCTCAACCTTTACACAAAACTACGCAGCCAGTTCCCCAACATTCACATCATGCAAACACCACATTTGTTTCAGGGGATTCATCACAAATGCTCCTACAAATTCCCTCAGATCTTTTTCATGCACAACTAACGGCTTATTTACCACATCCAGAAATTAAAATTTTGACAAATTTTCAAGTGCAATCAATTTTATCGAAAAATAAAATAATCGTACGGGGCAAAAATATTCCATGTCCCATTAGCAAATTTGAACATTGCAAACTACCTCCGAAGATGGCCGACAATTTGCAACAGATCGGATATTTGGAGCCAACAGAAATTCAAATGCAAGTAATCCCAACAGCACTAGTTGGACGTGATATATTGGCAAGTGCTCAAACTGGATCTGGAAAGACCGCAGCTTTCTTAATACCGATAATCATTCATGCTTGGACGGTATCACAATTTCGTGAGGGCAAGGGTGGACCTTATGCTATAATCATGGCACCGACTAGGGAATTGTGTTCACAAATTGAAGAACTAGCAAAAAAAATGATCGCAGGTTTACAAAATATGAAAACAGCGCTTATAGTTGGTGGTGTACCTATGTCCAATCAAGTTCACCGGTTGAAAAAAGGTGTACATATCGTGATTGCTACGCCTGGACGACTTCTTGGTGTAATGAATCAATACGAGGAATTAATAATGACTAATATTCATATGATTGTTATCGACGAAGTAGATATGATGTTTAAAATGGGATTTGAAAAACAGGTCACCGAAATAATGGATAAAATAAACTCATCATCAAATACACGTCTGCAGATTCTCATGTTTTCAGCAACAATTCCTGATAATATTGAAAAACACGCAAATCTACTACTTCATAATCATATAAGGATTACTGTTGGAGAATGTATAAATAATGTAAATAAAATTAATAATAACAATAATAATGGAAAAAGTATCACACCATCTATGTTAACAATTCCAGTAAAACAAACAATTTTATGGGTAGAAAACAAGTCTAAAAAGAAGCAATTGTTTTCAATCCTAAATGATCCAAAATATTATCGACCACCAATAATTGTATTTGTCGAATCTAAAATGGGGGCTGATTTATTATCACAAGCAATTGAGAAAAAATGTGACGCACGGACTATAAGTATACATAGTGACAAATCTCAAAAGGAGCGAATGCATATTCTTCAATCATTTATAAACGGAGAATATGAAATAATCGTTTCCACTGGTGTATTAAGCAGAGGACTAGATTTGTCCACTGTAAATATGGTTGTGAATTTTGATATGGCAGTTTCTATTGATGAATATGTTCACCAATGTGGTCGTGCTAGTGGTAGCGTTAACGGATGGGCTATTACCTTCATTAATGAGGTTAGTATTATGTTATTATTATTATTATTATTATAAATGTATATTATTAATTATTAAATTTAAAATTTATAAAATTTAGGATCATAAACATCTTTTTAAAGAATTTGTGTCGATGTTGAAAATGCAACCTTCTGGTAGAGTGACACCTTTACCATCGAAATTACTTAATCATGGATATACTTTGTATGGAAAATAAAAGTCAAAAATAAATTAAAACTGTCAAGATCTTTTCTATAATTTTATTAATAACATGATATTAAATGTTAACTATTGTTTACACAATTAAAAGACGTTATTATTTGAAAAAAGTAAATCTGTAAATGTATATTTGGTCATTATTCTTAAAGGAATTGGAGCTTTTATTTATTAGTCAATTTTCATTGAAATTTCCCATTCTCGAATTCTCATTTTCCAAGAAGAAAAATTTGGTGAAAACAGAAATAAAGCGAGTCCCAAAACTAAGTATTACAAGAGCATGCTTCTAAATAAGATATTAACGATGTTTTGAGATGTATTTTTTTAAAAATATTCTTGTAAAAAAAAGAAAGCAAAAATCAGACTGAGATTGGTTTAATTCGTATTTGTTAAATTTAGAAATTTACTAGTCTGGGATTAGGTTTGGAGACCCGACTAACCTAAATTTTAATTTTATATTGTCTCAAAAAAAAAAAAATTTATTTTATATATTTTATTTTATTTTTATTTGTTTTATATACGTATATACTTTGTAAGAAAAGACTAGAGGTGTAGACATATTGTCGTAACCAAGTCGTAACCTAATTACCTCAATAAAAATAAAATAGGTCGTAACTAATTACGACAATATGTCTGCACCTCTAGAAAAGACACCTAGTCATTATTACAAAAAAAGTTCTTTTTAAAAGGTTAAGGAACGGCTAATACACTCAAATTTTACAGGTTCTGGATCCATAATCTATTGAAGTCGAATGCAAAAGAAGCATTCTTGGTTAAGACATGAATTTGGTCCAAGTTCTCTTTTCTTTAAAATTAGATTTGCTGCAGCGGTTACGGATTTTAGTAGTAACGTGAACCGATTAGACGACAACCCAGGTAACCAGTTGATAGCTAATTAATTAGTTACAAAAAAAAAACGTGTCGGTAAGGACCTCTAAGATAAGTACCATTTTGATTTTTTTTTATCCTCAGTAAGAACTATTTGTACTGGATAGCGTCTCTTATAGTCGATCGAATGAAACTTTTTAAATATGGTGAATATTTAAAGTATCAGAAGAAACAATTATTTACGTATACATAATATTTATTTACAATATTTAAAAAAAATGGTATTTTCAACATCGTTATACCGATATATTTTGAAAAGGGAAATGAAATATACAAGAAACTTTTTTAGGACTGATATGATTTTGGTAAAGTCACGGGTAATTCGTTTATCGTTATCAATTAACGTTAGCGTTAACAATTACAGAGTTAATCAACAATGGTGGGCCATCATTATATAAGGGATCAATTTTACTAAGGGTTTTTATTTTTCTAAAAACTATTATTAAATACTTCTATCCGAATTTCGAAGGAAATTTGTTCGAAAGGTTTATTATTTTTATGATCCGAATTTTGTTTTGGATGCTAAAAACACTCATTTTTATAATTATTTTTCACATATTCAAGATAATCTTAGATCTACCGTAATATATTGCTTTATTCAATATATCCATCCTGCCCAGTCTCTAAATCCCTTTAGATTCTTAGTTTGAAAATAAAAATAACAGTTTGAATAATTTATAGCATTGATTTTAACAAATTTTATTGGTTTTTTTGAATTTTACACTATCGACTGAGAATGGACATATATTTAGATTTTGGTTATTATCTCAAATGAAGTAGAAATCCCGATTCCAAACCCAAACTATATCAGATATAATATAGTAATGTCATAATTCCAGAAAGGTTTGAGTCGCAACCCTAGTCGCGACCTAATTAGATTCACCCTTATGAAGTGATTTAGGT